AAAGGAAAAAGGAAAAAAAAAAAAAAGGCACTCGCATATCGGAGGGCTCCCTTCTAGATGCTCATATGCATCGAAGCCCACCGTGTGCCCCACCCCGGGGGCGCGCTCTCACGTTTTATAGCTCGCTGTGAACATCTCGGTACGCTCGCCCCTCTGCGCACTCCCCCGCCCTGGGTCGCGTTCATCCGCCGGCCCTTGCGGCCAATGCTGCTTAAACCACCAATACTTGGCCCAGCTATCAAGTCCGAGCCTCGGCCGACCGGTATGTCGAGCCTTGCCGAGGCTCGAACTACCGGGCGTTAACTTCCCGAACGTGCTTGGAGAAGAATATGGAATAACGAACAGGAAAAAAAAAAAAAACACAAAATGCAAAAGCAACGACAGAAAAAACGGGATTTACTCTAAATAACATGGAAAAAATAATAAAGAAAACGGTTACTAACTCCTCGACATGCACAAAAGACAATAATCAAGGCGGTGTATTTTTCCATGTTCTAGCAGAAGATTCACTCTCGTTTTCGTTTTTCGAAATGAACGAGAGAGAGAGAGAGAGAGAGAGAGAGAGAGAGAGAGAGAGAGAGAGAGAGAGGGGCGGCGAATTCGTCGCGGCCCTCCCTGCAAGCCGCTGCCCCTCTCTCTCTCTCTCTTCTCTCTCTCTCTCTCTCTCTCTCTCTCTCTCTCTCTCTCTCTCTCTTGCGCGCGCGCGCGCGCCCGTTGCCATAGTCTGTTCCGATATGGGAATGGATCCACCCGCGAAAGCGGGAAGATTCCTTCCCGTTTTCATTTTTCAAAGAGAGAGAGAGAGAGAGAGAGAGGGGGGCAGCGACCTGCACGACGCTCCTCTCTCTCTCTCTCGCGCGCGCGCGCACGCGCGCATGACTTTGTTGTTTACATTTCGTTTTTTTTTTGTTTTTTTTTGTTTTTTTTTTAGTCCCATCAATTTTTTATTTGTTTTTTTACTTTATTTTTCTCATAACTCTTTTTTTCCTTATAAAACTTGAACGAGGCTGGGGACCTCACATTTCAACCCGGGATATCTGACAGCATCAGCCAGCTTAGCTTACAGGCACTAGCCTGCAGAATTTCCAATTCCACTCCAGTTCCTTTCCAACATTCTACTTACCCAAAAGCCCGGGGACTAGATCCCAGATCCCCATTGTTCATCGTTGTAAATCATCTGACTGCATCGTTCATAACCTGCTAACTACTGGCTCCTGGACATCCAATGAGCTCTCTTTAAGCTAACCTTCCTATGCTTTTTGCTGCCCGTCTGGGACTAATGCGGCCCAGAGGACCTACCGGTCCACTACCTACTGCCACTCTTCTAAAAGGCCTACTGTGGCCCTTCTAAACCGAGTGCCCTGGTACTAGTTACCCAACGACACCTTTCACCCCCCTGGGTTGTTAATCTCCAGGACCCATCTGGCAATCACTAAGCCTCTACTGACGTGAACTGTTGTTAGCCGTTGATTTCTTGCCCAGGTGCACCTGAACCAGCCCACCTGGCTGCGGGTTCCTCTTCCTGCTTTTGCTCTCCTCGTCAAGTCCACCAGGATGGCCTGCTTAAGGCCCTGCTTTACCTGTCCCTTAATTTCCAAGTCCGCTAATGGCTTTCTCTGAAACCTCGCTCTGTTCCTGTCCTTCCAAATTGTCTCACAGATAATACCCCTGGTGACATGTGCTACGTACCCCCAGCCTCGGTGTTCTTTGACATTGGCTGGTAGAAAGCCTAATAGCGTTCACTTTTCATCCCAGATTACCGACTTGTCCCCGAACTTCGACCAGTGGTCTGACCACCATTTCCAGATTCGTTTGGATGCTGGACATTCCCACCACAGGTGCTTGGTGGATTCGAACGGCCAGCAAGACGCCTCCTTGTGCTCTCTTGTTTGTCTCGTCGCAGGTTTGAAAACCAAGTGTAGCCCGGATCATTCGGATTGAGAACCGGAAAGGGGTCTGATAGAGATACCTTTGAGCTGAAGTCCAGCAACATACATACGTCCCTACGATCCGCTGACGCAGAGTTCAATCGGAGGGCCTCATCCAAAGACACGTTCCAATCTCCTGCCACTACCAGATTCTCCGCGGTGGGTATGTGTGTCCTCAGTGTGGCGAAGAAGCTTGCTCTCTCACTGACCCTCGTGGGGGCGTATAGAGTCACCACCACCCAGGTTTCTCCACCCACGTCCACTTTCATCCATGCCCATCTCCCCCACAAGTCCGTTTTCGAATCTATTACTAGTGCATTCAGATCTCGGTGAAGTAGGATTCTCACTCCCCCGCGCGTGCCCTGAGCTGGTGCCCATACCTGTGGGCCATCCCACCACCCTTCGAGTTCCTTCTGTTTCTCCTCGTTCAGCTTAGTTCCTGCAGCATAACACAATTCACCTTCCATTCATGCAGCCATGATTTCAGTCTTCTCTGTTTCATCCTCCCATTGGAATCCCCCAGTCCCCGTACATTCCAGTTGCGACTCTAATCTTGTCCATTATCTTCTACCTTCTCCGTTTGTTCTTGGATACGGGTTGCTGCTTTCTGAGAATCCTTCTGAGCTGACCCCTGATGGCCAGATCTGCTTGAGCCCCTTGATTGGAGTAGCGATCCCTCCTTGGATGAGCCCACTCTTGAGGACAACCGCCAGTCCTCAATCAAGCTCTTTGCGATGAGACTGGAGAACCAGTTCCCCTCGTCACCCAATTTCTCGTTCACGTTCACCAGGACCATGGCAAAAGTGCCCGGAATAATCTGAATTTTTTCCAACTCATGCCAATTCCTCTCCCTCAGTAGATTCATCCGACACCTCTTTACTCTTGCCCGATTCAACGGTTCTATTGCTTCCGGGGGGATTCTTGCGTCCAAGATCGGAAAGTACACTGGCATCTTTCTGTACCCTTGCACCGTTTCCACGATCACGTACTCCATTGTGGTCTTCGAGATCAGCCGCACCGGGACATGTTCTCCGTACAGGCTCCTTACTGTTCCCATGATCAGCGCGGGTGTGGGTGTCCGGTCTATCACCTTGGAAGGTATGTGGGTAGCTCCTTCCCCATTCGTCAATGCCAAAAAGAATATGCCTTTTTCTGAGCTCGAGCACAACACTGGTACTAAACATCTCTCGACAGTCTCCATCTGGTTTCTCTCCACCGCTTCCGCCCGCCTGCTTTTCTCTGGTACGCCCCTACCCTCTCTCCCCGGATCTCCATGTTTCCTGACCCCGGACCCCGCCGAGCTTTCCAATGATGAGGACACCTCGGGGTTACGCCTGGCACCGTAATCTTCCACACAGTATTCACTGCCCCATCTGATTCTAGACTGTGAGGACTCCGGAGTCTGTGTTAATTCCTTCAAATCCTTCTCTCGTCCTCTCGAATCCACTGCTGCATCACATTGTCTATGGGTTTCCTCCTCTTCCCGGATTCCTGGGAATTGTGAAGCTGCATTCCTCCGCCATGGCCTCGACGTGTCCCCTCTGCTTCTCCAACTCCAAGCTTCCTCCCTCCCTGACTCCCACCTCACGTTGTTGCTCCTGTGCGTTCTCCTGATCGAGCCGCCCTTTTCATCCCACCTTGGAGCGAGAGGTGACGGCCAGCCTCTGTTCGAGGCTTGGGGTGCGAAGATTCTCCAATCGTTCGTGTCTCACGGGTATCCGGGCTGGGGGTGATCGACCTGGAAATGCTGCATTCGGGACGGCGGTGCATTGAAGTACGAGTTCCCACCCCCTAGTTCTGCTTCTGCTTGGTTCAGGTGTGAGTCCCGCCACTGATTGTGCGCTTGTGCGGATGCTGCACCATACCAAGGGCCTTCACTGTATGCCGCAGCGTTTGGTGGTGCCAACCCTGGCGCATTGTAGAGCGGTCAATCCTCCCTTACTGCTCACTGGTGTGGTGTTGCCCCTTGGATATCCTGCACCTGTGTGTCAGCCCATCTCTGCGGCCTGTGCCCCGGGTCTATCTCACGAGATGCAGTTCCGAAGCGGGGGCTCTCCAACTGTCCTTGTGGTCCCCAACCTTGGCTAACTGCGCTGTGTGTCTGTCGCGCTTCCAGATCTACTCCCAACCTTCTCCCTCCTGTTCCTTGGCTGTATATTCGAGAGCTATGGTCCACCCCACCTCGACCAATTTCCTACTTCCCGACTACGGCGACGTTCGCTTATCTGCTCTCCCCTCCCAGGTGAGCCTCGTTTGAACCTGAAAATTGCACGGCTTGACTGCCACCTGTCATCACTGTCGTGCCCCGAGCTGCTTGTCTCTGGCCTTCCATGTGTTGTCGGAATCTCTCTCTATGGCCCCCCTGCCGTATGTTGTTGCCCCGCCGTCCCTCTTCTGTTTGCCTGTATCTGAGACAGTTATCCTCGGTGTAGAAATACCACCGACAGCGCTGGCACCAATCCGTGTATGGTGTGGCTATGTCCACCTTCCATTTCTCCCCCTCCGGTGATTGAATTACGAGCTCGTCATCTATTCTCGGACGGGCCTCTGGATGCATGTCAATTTTGACGTTCATCAGCTTCGGCCGATCTTTGTTGAATTCCGGGGGGTGTATGTTAATGATTTTCCCAAACAACGCACTTGCTACACTCCTGAGGAAATAGTAGGCATCCAGGGGCACTCTCAGTGCCATAATCCAGAACTTCGTCTCTGCGTCTTGGATTCGAAACCCCTGCATTTCCTGCCTTGATAGTCTTGGTTTGAAGGTGACTGTATACTCCTTGTCCTCCAGCTTGATCCGGAGTTCCTTCTGCTGTAGCAGCCAAACTGCGATATCCTTGGATTTAGCCACGTATGAGGCTACATTCTGTCCTTCAAATTTAACTCTGCCTCGCCTTGCTTCCGGTTGAAAAAGTCTCTTCGTGGTCCATCCGCCTTCGTATGCTCTGATTAAGTCCTCCTTGATAGCTCTTGATAGGTTTCTAGCTTCCCCCTGAAATATTACCATCACGGATCTTTCCTTCAGCCACTGTTCCTTGACCCTGTTCACCGCTTCGTTCACTACAAATCTCCTCCCTTCTTCGTCCTCTACCACTTTACCAAGATTATCATCCTGTGGACACACCCCCTCATCGTAGCAGTGTTCCACCGAGATCCTTACTCTTTCCCATTCCTCCAGGACCTCCCTCGTTTGCATTTGCCTTATCTCCCTACCTCCCTGTTCCTCCATCCTTCCTCCCCCACTCGATTCGGAACTCCGAAGGTTTCTGGTTGTGCGAGGTGGGCAGTAGGCTCCAAGGACTCCAAGGGGTGGTTTTTGCTTCTCTTGCACACCACAACTTTTAAACTGCTTACATGCTGCTGCCTTGTTCTCTGGCACGAAGCAGGAGGGTAGGGCTTTCGGTAGCTATTCCAGATTGTTGGTAGTGTGCCGCTACTACCTAAGACCGGGAGGAACAGGCAAGTTACCTTTTGATGCTACCCAGCGGTCTGTCGGAGTTGTCCAAGTAATTTCGGCCCTTCCCCTTCTCGGCCCGACCTTTACTGCTGCTCGAGTTCTAGCCTTCTCACTCCTGCTGGGTTGGTCTTACTCCGGTGTATTGCTAATTGCCTTTCATCTTACGGGGAAAGCACTGCTCGTGTAAGCTGCTCGGTCGCTGCTGATAATTAAGAGCGCTTCTTGCGGCTGTTGAATGTAGTCCTGACCCAACGACAGATTCGCCCCATACCTGGGCCACCTCCTCCCTTCGTACCCCTACCGTGATTCCACTCAGATTACCTGAGCGTGTTCGGCCTGTCCTCTAGGACCGTGCCTTGATTGCTGGTAACCCACCGCTCCGCATAGCCTGCTACTTAGCACCAGATCTTACCTCTCTTATCACTAGTGTGTAGGGATACTAAGAGTTTCCGTCTCCTACGATTAGAGCGATTCAAAGTATGTCCTCAGCCCTATCCTTCGGGCGAGCTGGCCGATCAAACCTATGGGCCTCTCGTATTAACGGCACCTGGTTTCACCCTGGCTACGACACCTCGTCTCAAGTTTGCCTACAATTTGCTCTCTTCCACGGCTGCTGAGACAGAGACACGGTCGTTTCCAGAATCGGCGGTTATCCTTTCGGGCCTCTAGTCCAAACTTCGATTAGTTCTGCTTGCGTGTCCTACGAGAGAATGTTGATTATTGTCTCCCGCTTCTACGTGTCTAGTACAATAGACACCCGCGTGATGCACTTCGTCTACCTTTCTTCCGCCGGCATTTTCAGATTTCTGCTCTTAGTCTATTGCGCGCTCCGTAGGTTGGCTTGGGTACCCGACAGTAAAGCTATGAGTCGTGAAGTGCTCAGACTGCTACTGGTCAGCTAATCGCTGCCACCCGCTGTCTCCCCAGCCTGGGTTAACTCGCCGTAGCTACCTATTTCACCTGCGAGATTTCAAAGCCGAGAAACCCATCCCCTGCGCTCACGGTGAAAAATTGACTGAGATAGCTATTTACCCTCGATAAGATTTCCTTGCCTCCGCTGTACCGCAGTAACCACTAGTCCGCCAATTCCCGGACCACTCTAGGCCTGGTGTGACCTCCTCTTAGTTCGTTCGGTAGCGTAGAGTAATTACTGCCTTCCGCTTGCTCGCCAGATTAGGTTTAACCTTCCATAGTAATTTTATTACGACTACACTTCCAGGGTAACTGTCTCCTTGGCTCCAGGTGAACATTGTCTGAGATGGCCGCAGCTGCCACAGTTTCCCTTTTCACTCGTTCTCGCTATGGCCGATCTCACCCTTCCTAACATAACCACGGACTACCGAAATTACTGAGCCGCCAGCGGGCATAGCCCCTCCACCGTGGAGGAGGAGGGCGACACGTTTCACCGTTCCTCGTCGCGATGGCGAGGGTGACGGACCGGTAGCGTCCCCACGCTATTCGCCAGGGACGGTGGTCATTGCGGAGCGCTACGCTACCCGCCTGCTAGCGCTGCTCCACCTCCGTTCCCTTACTCCCATAATCCCATCCTTTTCTTTCTTTTTTAATTTTTGTGTATTTGAATTTTTTTTTCTTTCTTTGTTGTTTCATTGTGGTGTCTTTCCGAGTGAACCGGGGCCCGGCCATTCAGCAGCGACCGGGCCTTCCCTTGGCCGACCTACCTAATGCTGCGGCGCGTATACGGGAAGGCCCGCGGCTGATAGCTGGGCCAAGTTTGCGGGCCGGTCACCAACCGCTAACGTCATATCGCACGGCCCAGGTTGCGGGCCGGTCACCACCCGCGGACTGCCCAGATCGCAGGCCGATGAGAAACTTTTCTCATCGGCCTGCGATCTGGGCAGTCCGCAGGTGGTGACCGGCCCGCAATCTGGGCCGTGCGATACCGGTTCGGCCCGCCCAAACGGCCCTTCCGCTTTTTCTTTTTTTTCGGTTGTTTTTGTCGTTTTTTGTGGAAGTGTTTTTGGGGGCGGCCGGTACTCGACGCGCCTACGGCCACTCCACGCCTACGATCCTGCTTTCGCCTACTCACTATACCCGGGGCCTCCTCCCACCCGGGGCCTACTCCCACCCGCTCGACGTGCTTAGTCCCGCCTGCATTCTCTCTCTCTCTCTCTCTCTCTCTCTCTCTCTCTCTCTCGCTCTCCCTCCCTCCCCCCCCTCCCCCCGGGCCCTTCCGCTTTGGTGTTCGTAGTACGTGGTCCGTGCTTCGGTGCTTTGTGGTACGTGCTTGGTGCTTCCGTGAAGCATTGTGGATTCTGTGCTTCATGCTTCGTGCTTCGTCCTTGCCACTTTGTGGATTCGGTGTTTGGTGCATCGTGGGTTCGTGGTGGATTCGGTGCTGTGAGTTGGTGCTTTCATGAATCGGTGCTGCGTGGATCGGTGGTTCGCGCGTGGATCGTGAGTTCCTGCCTAGTGCTCCGACGTGAGCTTCGTCGTGGATTCCTGCTAGAGTGAGTATTTCTACTTCACCTCGAACCCACACCCCCAACCCCTTTTTGGAAAAAACATAAAAAGAACTTGCGTTGCTTCTCCTTTTTAGGGAGGAGGTAGGTAATGGGTGGATGGGTCACTGCGGGCAAGCGGGTCAGGCTATTGCGGGGGGGGGGCGAGAGAGAGAGAGAGAGAGAGAGAGAGAGAGAGAG